TGGTTTGCCTGACTATTTAGCATAATATATAAGAAAACAGTATTGGTGACTAGCTTTTTTGTTTTTAAACACCACACTTTGAAATATTGCAATGTTATTTTAAAGCTTAAAGACATTTTCTCATATTCAGTCTTTGCTTTTTGTCAGTTGTAGAAAAAAACCTTAGTTAATGCTTGGTATGAGAACCTTTTATGGGGTTTCTCTACCTGTCTGTATTTATGAAAAGAGATGTATTTGCTCAGAATATCTTGATTGTATTCAAAGGACAGTTGCTGTTTCAATAAAGCTGTCTTTGAACTTAAACAAAAAGAAAACTTAAAGCTTTATAAAAATCTCAGTTAAACGTCATTGGTTTATTTTGCTTACTGTTAAATCTTGCTTCTCTGCTTTACTCCATAGTGTTCCCAGATGATGATGTATGAACTGTATGGATATTCTCTGAGTTAGCAATTCGTGGGATTCTAAAGTAGCCTGAGGATGATGATTGTGCATTTTGTACAGCTTTATCCTCCTAAAGTAGCAAGCGTGTTAAGGATTACATAGCGATGAGATTCTAATGGGAATAGTTTGTTCTGCATATGTTTTTGACATTAGTTCTCATAGCAGAACTAAAAGAGTTTGAAGATGGGTTCATATGATTGTAAGTTCTCCTTAAGTCCTACAGAAACCTGCCCGTCAGAGACATAATTTAATCTAAAACACAACGACAGTTGGTACATCCTGTAATATGGTCTATAGTAAGTGTTGAAGGACTAGCTCTTATGTGATTTATCAAGACCTGAGACTTTCAAGTATTGTTCATGCTTATTAACAAACCTCTCTTCAAACTTGCCAAAGAGAAGAGTGGTAAAAATATTCGATTGGAAAATAACAGATGTGGTGGTGTAAGGAAACCTTTGGAGCAGTGGTCACCAACCGGTGGTCCGCGGACCACTGGTGGTCTGTGAGGTCCGAAAGGTTGGCGACTGCTGGTATAGCACATTGAAAGTACATGCATTACAAGATAAAATGTTTTAAAATTGCATTCATTTTATTACAATCATGGCAGTTTAGCTATTCAGTATTACAGGAGTTTAAAAATTGGTTTCTTGTGAATATCTTAACTTGATTTTTTAAATATATTTTTAATGCTTTATCATCCAACTAGAGTTCTAGTTGTAGCAAAATCCCGATAAGGATCAAGTGTTAACCATTAAACTTCCTTTTATCACGGGGTTTACTATGACATGGAAAGCAATTCTGTTAGTCTTTGAATTTTCATGTTGAAAATACTTACCTTTATATTTTAATCTTTCAACAGCTGAGATCTTGAACTGATTTAAATCTTTGTTGGTATCTTAATAAAAGAATGACTCAAGTATGAAAGGAGAAACTTTTTAAGTAATTTAAGTTCTTTCCTTTCTAGGGAGAAAGAAATATTTTTCATAATATTTTTATAAATGTCATTAGCAAGTTTCCTCAATATTATGTTCTTTAAATCCACTTCTATTTGTATAGCATAGATATTGTTCTTTTTTCTTGTTTTGCTTAAGCTAATGAGTAACCATTTCAGATAGCTCTATATTGAGCTGGTCTAAGCCCCCCACAGATTCTTAGGTTTGACAGTCTGGAAGCCAAGCCGAGTGTCACTGGTTGTAAATTAGAGTGTGACATGTGCCTTCTGGCTTTTAGGTGAGAGCGACATAGATGAAGAGAGAAATGGGATAATTGTGTCTGCCTTCCTCCTTTTTCTTGCTGTCCACATATGTTATGTTAGAATTTTATGTAGTCTTGAAATCCATGTTGAGAACCTTTCCCGTTTCTATAATCATAACTACCAAGGTAGTTATAGAACTGAAGTAGCAGGAAAATTATGATTGTTTTAGCATGAGTAAAGTGAATCAATGTTGAAATGAATTGTTATATGTGCTAGATTGAAGAGAGTGTGCCAGTGACAAGATAGTCTAAAAAAATAATTAAGTGGTTGTAGTTCAGATATATTCTGAAAGACAATCTTTAAAAAATGGGAGAAATCAGGGGATTTCCGTGAACCAAAACCAACCTTTTTTTGTATTAAATGTGATATAGTTAGATAGAAAAATCAATGTCTTACTGGCACCATTTACAGTTTAAAAACCCATCCTTTTATTGAGAAGGTCCATCCTGAATTTTTCTGTTTTAAGAGCTACTTGAATTTGTATGTATTTTTCTATGTGAAAACATATGTATTATTCATTCTTATTCCAGTGTTCACAGTGGTTTACGTACATTTCTTCCCTTGGTGTTCAGTGAGGTAGAACTTGCTCAAAGATTGCCCATTACATGAGTGTGAAAAATGAACACTCGTGGCCAGAGCAGGAAAGATTACATGTTGTCATGGCACTGAAGAGAAGAGGTTTGGCTTGGAGAGCAATAATTCTTATTATCCTTCTTGAATTAGTGAAGCAGCTATTTCCTTGGGATAAATTGCCCACCCACCTTCTCCATGAACAAGCTGAGGAGGCGTAATTTCCATTTTCATATTTATGAACCTCTCCACATCTGCATTTTTTTTAATCATGAAAATTAACGGAGTTTTGTTAAAAATCTGGGAGGAAAAAATCATAAGTGAACTTTATTTTTCCTGGCTTCACCTTTTGACAAGAGAAATTTTAAATGTAGTGCAGATAAGACCCAAGTACTACAATATTATGATAAGGCAATTTCATATTTCTGTTAAAGTATCCAACAAATATTTAAGCACTGGCTTTCCCTGCAGTAAAAAGTACTAGTTGACAATATAAAAAAATAGATTTTTGTTTACTTTGGGTAAAGCAACTAATTTCTGTGTAAGAGCAATAGTTGAAATATGATGTCATTGTGTTTGGAATGTTGTGAGCAAATAAAACATGTTGAAACTATTGTAAGCCTTGATGTTAATACTTCTGCTCTCTTCCCATCCTCCCATCTCTTATTGAAGTCATTTATGTTGCTGCAACATAAATGAAACATGGTTATTTAATCCTTTAACCATGTTTTTGTAGAGTAAATCAGAATACACAGAATTCTTTTTTTGTGACTTTAACTCATCTGCCAATTACCTGTTTAAGAAGTTATTGGATAGCCGAGGCCGGTTTGGCTCAGTGGATGGAGCGTCGGCCTGCGGACTGAAGGGTCCCAGGTTCGATTCCGGCCAAGGGCATGTACCTGGGTTGCGGGCACATCCCCAGTGGGAGATGTGCAGGAGGCAGCTGATTGATGTTTCTCTCTCATCGATGTTTCTGGCTCTCTATCTCTCTCCCTTCCTCGCTGTAAAAAATCAATAAAATATATTTTTAAAAAAAAAGAAGTTATTGGATAAGAACAATTTGGGCTTCCTGGCTCTTCTGCTGCCATTCCTTGTTTTACCAACATTCACATCATGGGGGTGCCAGAAGGAGAAGACAGAGAGCAAGAAATTGAAAAACTGCTTGAAAAAAATGATAGAAAACTTCCCTAACTTGGTGAAGGAAATAGATGTACAAGTCCAGGAAGCACACAGATTCCCAAACAAGATGAACCCAAAGAGGCCCACACCAAGACACATCATAATTAAAATGCCAAGGGTTAAAGACAAAGAGAGAATCTTAAAACCAGCCAGAGAAAAGTGGTTAGTTACCTCCATGGGAGCTCCCATAAGACTGTCAGCTGATTTCTCAACAGAAATTTTGTAGACCAGAAGGGATTGGCAAGAAATATTCAAAATGTTGAAAATCAAGGTTACTCTGCCTAGAAAAGCTATCATTTAGAATCGAAGGACAGATAAAAAGCTTCCCAGACAAGAACAAGCTAAAGGAGTTGGCTCTCATACTTCTTTTAATCTCGTTTATTCTTTCCCTACTTCTTTTGCATTCAGTGCGTAGGCATGAAAAAGGTTACTACAGGTTTTAATGACAAACTTGGCTTTGCTGGGAAGAGGCCCTGAAGATTCATTTTTGCCTGAGTCTGCTGCTCTGTCTAACCAAAGTTACCTCATAGCTCTAAAATTCTTGCCGAAACCGGTTTGGCTCAGTGGATAGAGCGTCGGCCTGCAGACTGAAAGGTCTCAGGTTCGATTCCGGTCAAGGGCATGTGCCAGGGTTGCGGGCACATCCCCAGTGGGAGATGTGCAGGAGGCAGCTGGTCGATGTTTCTCTCTCATCGATGTTTCTGGCTATCTATCTCTCTCTCTTCCTCTCTATAAAAAAATCAATAAAATATATTTAAATAAAATAAAATAAAATTCTGTGATTCTAGGAAAGATGCCATGATTCTAATAACAACAATGCCCAAATGGATATAATGTCTTACGTAGAACTTGTTATAGATGTCATAAAACATAGACAATTTTTTAAAACTCTACTAATAACAAGGTAAATGTGTGCCTCTTGATTCTATAGACCTTCGTACGGAATGTTGCTCTATACAAATATTGTAGGGAACTTCAACTCTTACATGCACTATAGACCCAAAAAGACAAACTTTAAAAGGTATTAGCAATACTTTATTGAATATATTCACTGACAACTGGGTTAGTATATAAAAAGAAAATAGTAATATTTTCTTTTGTAACTGCTCATTTTTAAGTATTTATAAATATAAAGGACACTTCACTCAATGTCCCTTTTTCATCAGTTTGAATTATAATTAAGATGTTCAAGTTTCTCATATTCAATCATAAACCACCTCCCTTCTCCACGCGCGCGCACACACACACACACACGCACACACACACACACACACAAAATGGTAAATCAAATGCAGTAACTTATCTGGACATTACATTTGCCAGAGTGAGTCCTGAATGTCTTGCTTTCCCCTCCTTGAAACAGAATAAAAGTCACAAGAAATAAAAGGTATTAGTTTTAATTTGGGGGTGGGGGGGATAGTTGACAATTTTCTACTCTACCAGAATTCTTTTATCTTTTTAGGCTGAAATAATGGGAATAGTTTTTTGCTCGTTTTTTAATCATCCAGTTGGCAAAGGCTCCCACTGGTATGTCCCAGCCTTTTCCTGAAGATGCTCATGTGGCACTGTCCGCGGGCTGTCCTGACTTCATCAACTCTTGTTTCAGCTTCTCAAAGCACACGTACATAATGACGTTCCAGGATGCCAGTCGCAAGAAGGAAGGTAGTAACCTGGAAAAGTGCACGTCACTGGTGTGTTAGTTTCTTGACATTCTCAAAGCTATTATAATACAGGCAGCTTTTGCTTTTCATGTTGCCACTCTTCTCAAATGAAGATGCTTAAAAGTACCTGTTCTTTATCTGCTGCCTAAAATAAAGTGTCATCTATTTTTTCACCTATACTGCTTCAAAACAGCTATGTAAATACATTCCCACCAAACCAAAGCTTGTCTCCTCCTTTTTCATAGCCTTTCCTTCTTTTCGGAGGGGAGGGGAAATTTTTGTTTTGTTATTAGGAAACGATTAAAAAATGAAGTAAGAGGAGGAAGCAAAGACCATTTTCTAGAGTCAAGAAATTAGTGCTGTGTAGATTTTGGCAATTCTTATCCTTAGAGAGACTGCCCCATGTCTGGGGGGGGGGGGTGGTTTTTCTTTTTTGGTTGTTGCTCTTTTTAAAGAATTCTGCCAAACTGTGCAGAACAAATCATTGATTTTGAATGCCTGTTTGCAGCAATGAAATATTCCAAGAGAAGATGTCATCAGTTAAATCTGCCTTGAATAAATTTTTTAAAAAGTGTAGCTTAATGGTTGAGCATCAACCTATGAACCAGAAGGCCATGGGTTTGATTCCTGGTCAGAACACATTCCCGGGTAGCAGGTTTTGATCCCTAGTAAGATGTGCAGGACACAGCCAATCAATGATTCTCTCTCATCATTGATGTTACTCTCTCTCCCTTCCTCTCTGAAATCAATAAAAACAAACAAATAAAACTAACCCAAACAAAGAGCTAGAATATTTTTTAAGTGATCTGGCCTACAGATATCATCCCCAAAGATTTTTGGAGAGGTCTCTTAATATATTTCTCCTGACTCTTGGATGTGTGTATATGTGTTTTAATTAAGGTATAAAGTATGCTTAACAAATTTATTAACCATTTTAAGTGTATGATTCAGTAGCAGTAAATACATTCACTTTGTATGCAACCATCATCATTATCCATCTCCACAACTTTTTTGTCAACCCAAACAGAAACTCTGAACCCATTGAAAAGTAGCTCATTGCCCTGGCCAGTGTGGCTCAGTTGGAGCATCATCCTGTGCACCAAAGGTTCGCAAGTTCCATTCCAGACCAGGGCACATACCTAGGCTGTGGGTTCAATCCCCAGTGAAGGAACATATGAGAGGAAACCGTTCTTGGGTGAGGACAAAAAAAAAAAATAGCTCCCCACTCTATATTCCTCTCAGCTCCAGGTAACTATATTCCACTTTCTGTCTCTATAAATTTGACTACTGTAGGTACCTCAGATAAGTAGAATCATATAATATTTGTCTTTCTGTGTCTAACTCATTTTATTTAGCATTACATTTTCAGGATTCATCCTTGTTGTAACATGTAGTCCCCCAAAAGGTTTTAAATTTGAAAAAATTATTGTTTAATGGCTGATGTGAATGACTGGCATATCCATTTAAAGTTAATTTTATAATGTATTTCATTTGTATTAATGTATCATAAACATTATGGTGAAGTGGAACCTTTTGTATAGTGTGTATAGTGAATTTATGTTTATCTTATTAGGTTTAAGACATTGACTTACAATATTTAAGGGTATAGAATTTTGTTATTTTACCACTGGTATAATCCTTGTTGAATATATCCATAAATTAGTTGATAATATATTTTCTTAGGAAGGTCATTTCCAATATAATATAATATTGCTTTATGGAAATGTGCTCCATTGTACAATACATTTCTATGTGAGTGTTTTGCATCACTTTTCTAGATCAATGACAGTGATTTTTCTCTAGTTTTGCTTTAATACAATCTAAACCACAGTCCATTAAATTGAAAAAAAGCAAATACTGTTTTCTCAAAGTCCTCTATTATGCTTTTCCTTTGCTTTGTAGTTCTTCCCAGAGAAGGCAAAATACTGTCTATACATTTCTAATAGATCGGGACCAATTACTTATGTCGAATAAGCCTCTGATCAAGGTTGAGAAAATTAATTTTAATTTTCCTGCACAGTGGAATTGGTAGATGAGAGAAGTCTATGGCAAGGAAAAGGAAACACTAATTATACTGCATAGTAGACTATGTCTGCTCAGCTACATCCATTGTTTAGCTGAGACAGTGTCCCGAAGTGCGTAGATAGCCTAAGCACATCATTATAGATACGGAAGATCATAACCTACCCCTTGAAAAAAGCTGATGGTCCTTCCTTAATGAACATTGTCATTGCGCAGTTGTGCGCACTCTTGTACTGTCCTGGTGTAGAATTTACAAATCTGGTTTTCACTACATCCATTGGTGAAGACAGAAGCGTTGCACAAAACCCAGCGAAAACAGCCGACATAAAGTGGCAGGGTAGGTCATCTAAAATGGATCAATGGGACAGGTCAACATCAGACTTTAGGGAGGGGCTACTAGTACTGAGTTATCAGATCACTGTAAACCTGGAAGTCAACACAGGACGCCTTATAAATAAATACAATAAAGAAGATTATACTTATAATGGAAAACGGTGGCAAATAGTACATGCATAGCATAGTGGATTGTGTTTTGGGAAAACATCCTGTCAGTTTTCTCTGTGCATAATGCCTGGTACACAGGCATCAGATACTTGTTTATTAAAGTCATTGTCCAAGGAGAATCTCAATGTCTTGAGAACCTGTTAGAATATTAACTTTAGGAACCTATTTGATGGCTCTACATTTGGATGAAACTGCTGATGAACTCATGTAACTAGCTCATTTGGATACAGTGCAGAATGAACTCACTGCCCAAGTCCTGCTATATAAAGAATAAGATGCTAACAAAAGTCCCATTTGTATTAAATGAGAGTAATGCTGACATAAGAATATAGTTGCATTTTGGTTTCATTGCAAAAATTTGTTGCAATGAAACTTTTAAAACTTAGGGCTTTAGTCTTTTTCGGCTCCTCAAAAGTTATATATATATATATATTCGAAAGTACTTCAAACTATTACAATTAAGGGATTCAGTAGAATGTGGCAAGAGAAGCTCCAAGATGAAATTGTAAATGTGCAGTCCTGTTTGTTACGTCACATGGGAGGTTACCTGCAAGGATTTCATTTTTCACAAGGGTGTCCTTCATTATGTCGTACGCTACTAGCTCTGTACAATTGATGGTGACATTTCTTGCCAAATTAGGAGTCGTTCCTGAGGAGATAAAAAAGAAAATGTTTAATAGCTCCCTTATATGATAAGGTGCTAATTGGATATGTGTGTTTTAATGATTTTAAAAATCCACCTCGGAATTAGTTACCTTTCCAAAGGCCCGACAAGCCTTCAGTTGTTACTATAATTCTGTAAGCATTGTAAGTCCCAGTGTAGCGAGGTTTCGGACCATAGAGATGGCTCTGCGCCTGAAGTCTGACCTTCGCGACCTCTGTGGGTTGGCCAATGAACACAGACACTCCTCCAGTCGTCAGCCCAGCTAAGATCTTGCCTCCTAAACTAGCTGTTGAAATCCACAAGGAAGAAAAAAAATCAAGCAAAATGAAAAAACCATCAAGACCCAGAATGCAACTACATGTCTTTTTAATTTTAGTGGTTAGTGTTATTGTATCTTTATATCTTTTCTACTTCCCTAATACCTATGCATGTGTGGGTCATGCACTACATACATGCTAAATCGCAGTGGGGCAAGAAGACTTCAAAGCTGAAATTCTTTTAAAAAATGAGGATTTTCAAGGAAAAAGGAAACACAATGCCTATTTAAACAGTGGCTTAGCTGTTTCCTATATTTAGTTGTGTGTTTTTTTTCAGGCTTTTCCTAACTGGGGGGAGGCACTGGTTCAGATACTGAGGTTTGCTTGCCAGTTTGTTCTGAAGACCCCGACCCTGCGGGGAACAGTTCTGAACAGAGCTGGGCACAGCGCATGTCTCTGGCTGTGGGCCCAGGAATGCTGGTCGCTTACTTTCTCTGCCCTCGGTGAAGTACTCCCGGGCGGTGTCATAGAGCCCGATCCGGAGAGAGGCAGAACTGATTTGTCTCTGCAGGCCAGCAGGCAGTCCGTTGTAGAGCTTCAGTGGCCCTTCCGTTTTTGCCACAGTGAGGACTGTCCTCAGGACACCTTTATACTTAGGGGCACCGGAGTTCGGGCATTCACCTTGAATCTGGGAATGAGAAAGGGAGGGTCAAAGGGAAGGTAGATTGAACAGGGGATCCTACCCGGTGAGAAGATGGCAAAGGCTGGTATCAGGCTGTCAAGACTCTCTCCAGTGTTCCTATTTGCAATTCCTTTTCCCTTCCCAGCAACAGCTCCCCTAGCTAGCTCCCCTAGCTATCCATTTATCTGTCTGTCTTTCTATTTCTCTATCTAACAGCTATCACTATATACTTATGGAGCAAGACCGGCTATAATGTACTTTTGAACATCCCCCCTCCGCCAATCCTCACCCCCCCCCCCATGAACTCTCCAGAAGGCAGGCTGGGAAGATGCCCGATTGAATCAAAAATGGAAGAAGACCCCTGCCATGTGGCTCAGTGTTGAGCGTCCACCTATGAACCAGGTCACGGTTGGATTCCTAGTCAGGACACCTGCCCCGGTTGAGGGCTGGCTCCCCAGTGTGGGGCGTGCAGGAGGCAGCTGATCAATGATTCTCCCTCATCACTGATGTTTCTCACTCTATCTCTCCCTCTCCCTTCCTCTCTGAAATATATGAAAGGATGGAAGAAGAAAGAGCTTGGCTTGCCTACTCCAGAGGGCTGACATGCTTCGCTCTGAGAACACATAGTGCCCCCCTAAGATTTGGGGTTAGTCAGTGGTTCTCAACCTTCCTAGTGCCGCGACCCTTTAATACAGTTCCTCATGTTGTGGTGACCCCCAACCATAAAATTATTTTCGTTGCTACTTCATACCTGTAATGTTACTACTGTTATGAATCATAATGTAAATATATGATATGCAGGATGTATTTAGGCGACCCCTGTGAAAGGATCGTTCGACCCCTAAAGGGGTCGCGACCCACAGGTTGAGAACCGCTGGGTTAGATAATAATCATTCTCCGTGGCCCTTGTGATTTTGCAGTTAATCTTGGAAAAGTTCCGGTTTCCCACCCTAATGCACCCAGTCCTGTGACAAGGCCAAACTGGTGTGGAAGGTGGCCACCTGCCCTACCTCCCTTTGCTCAGGTAAATCAATGCCGGAATCAGATCTCTCTGCCTGAGATGCACCCCCTCCCCATCTCGCTCCCTACCTGTTGCCGGACTTTGGCCGTGTCCAGCGGGAAGGTGATCACATCCGCCACACAGGCCGCCAATCCGGCTGAGAAGATCTTGACCCCCATGGTGGGATGCGCCTCGGCGGCTGTCGCGCCCTCCATCCTCGCTCAGACTGCGGAGCGAGGCGCTGGCGCCGAGGAGAAGGCTGCCGTCCCGAAGGTGGACGTTCAGTTCTCTCTGCCCCTTTCCTCCCGTCAGCTCGGGCAGCAACCCACTCTCAGCACTGGGGAGCCGGGCGGCTGGCAGCCTGGTGGTCCCGGCGGGCACAGCGGGAGGAGGAGCGCAGGAGTGGGGCCGGGTCGGGCAGTGCCTCCCTCCCCACCTTCTCCCCAGGAACACCCACTGCGCCCGGGCTGGCAGCGCCGCGCGCCCTGCCCTCGGTGGGGGACTTATGTAGCCGCAGCTCCGGGCTGAGCCACGCCAGATCTCGAAAGACCCGGGCTTGGGACCTGCGGGGCGGGCCCTGGGGCGCTGAGACCCTCCCACCCGCATGCACCGTCGGCTTCTGGGGAGCCTCCCTTCACCCAGAGAGCACTCAGAGCGCACCTGGTGGTCTGCTCCCCGAGCGCGGCTCTTGAGTAAGGCGCACCGGTAGCTGGCACCCTCCGTGGCTTCTGTCACCCTTTGACTGCGCCCCAGGGCTGGGCAGGGAGCAGCTGCCTCCCCCCACCCCCGAAATCAGCGCAATCTCAGTGATTCTGGTACAAGGTCCTGAGGATCTGGGGCTGTCCAAGGCAAGAGGGGGACCCCAGGACCTTTGCAGGCACCATCTAGGCTTCCCTTTTACTAGAAACGCATCCTCCTTTCTCCTCTCTAACCACCAAATCCAGACCTGGAAAAATCCCAGGTAGAGACCAGGAACACTGAACTTTTCAAATAAATTTTCGTTTGAGCATTTTTTATTTAATTAATTAATTTATTTTTTGCAGGAGGCTGTCCAATGAGATAGTAGACATATAGAAAGCAGCTGGTAAACTGCTAAAGTGCTACATGACATGAGGTGTCACTTGCTCCTTTTCATTTCTTAGGAGGGTGAGTGGAAAGGCCGCTCGGCTCCAGGTGCAGCTCTGCTGCGGGTGACCCTGGGCCAGTCACCTGCACTCCTAGAATGTGGTTCCAGAGCCACCCCAGGTGAGAAGTCCTGCTGCTAACGTACCTGGAGTGACAAATTCAACATTGTAACCGTGTTCGTCATGGGAGGAGGAGCTTTACCTACTCTGTCCTTGTGCACAGATCTGTTTGTGCGGGCACTTATTCTTCTGGTCCCCTGGCAGGAGGAGCATAAGATGCTGCCCCAGAGAGTAACCCCCCCACCCCCTAGACCCCCACCTCCATCCTCTCTAAGAACAGGTTGTGTCCTGTGCGAGGAGCCAGTCCTCAGGGGCTCCCCGGGGAGGTTGGGCTGGAGGGAGTGAGGAGGAGACTAGAGTTTCTCCTCCGCAAACACCTGTTGGAATAAAGAGCCCTGGAGGCAAGTAAGTGGAAGTTTTGGATTTGGACACAAAAAAGACGGCTCAGCACATTTTGAAGGAGAAGCAGAGTAAATTAAAAGTTGTTTTATTGGCGGGCCAGCATGGCTCAGTGGTTGAGCATCGACCTGTGGACCAAGAGGCACGTGCTTCCCGGTCAGGGCACATGTCGGGGTTGCAGGCTCCAAACCCAGTGTTGGGCGTGCAGGAGGCAGCCGATCAATGATTCTCTCTCCCTCTTCCTTCCTCTCTGAAATTATATATATTGTTTTGTTTTCATAGGCACATGTTTTCATGTTTTAAAAAGGCGGAGTATGACAAATTAGAGGAGAGGGTGAAATGGAAGCTATTAGAAGGGGAGGGAATATGAGGAATATATCTGCTAGAAAGTAGGAAATGTTGTAGTCCAAAGCAGGTAAGGACAAGTTAGGAGAGGGGATGGTTATATTTGAGACTGTGAGAAGAGAGCCAGCAAGAGCCGCTGGGTTACTAACAGGTGTGGTCGGTAAGAGACTTCTCCAGGAGCCAGTGTAGGTCGGTGGTGGCTGAGCACCTGAGAGGCTGGGCACAAGGTCCAAGAAGAAGCAGAAGTCAGAAGCCTCAGGAGAGTTCTCAGGATTTAAGACTGAAAATAGTTCTGATTCCAAGGGGCCTGCCAGCTCTGGGAGAGGCGCTGGGAAGTAGGCAAAAGTTTGCCTCAGGTTGGAGAGAACAGTAGGGGAGAGGGTGGTGTCCCCAAAGGGTCAGACTTCTGCTCTTCTGGCACAAAGAAGGGAGGAGGTAAAGAATAGGTCAGTGTGGGAAAGGGTAGCGGGTCTTCCATGACGTAGCTAAGGAAGGGCAGCAAGTTCCTAATGCACTAAATTCCTATTTTCCTCTTTTAAAATTGAGAACATTTACAACTGTCCTTGCTCCAACTGTGATCGATCAGGAATGATGAACAAATGTCTTCATAGTAAATCAAAAAGATAACAATCCTGCACATTTGAATCATGTTCTATATGCTTCCATAATTCTCTCAGCCAGCAGTAGGAAATATCAAGTTGTAATTTTATATATAAATGTACAAATGGCAGAAAAGACAATTTGTAAAAGAAGAAATACAAACTCTACAAAGAGGGGGGGATATATTTCATAGCAATAATAAATGTACCTCTTTTACCTTATAAATCAATCCCTTGTCCCTTTCAAAATTATAATTATTAAAACATTTGCATATACATTTTAAATTAAATACTATAAATATAAGTAAATAATGAATGTTAGAATTATAGGTTATGAATATTAAAATAGAATTATAATACTCATGCTGTATTAAGGATGGCATTTGACATTCACATGATTCTTTTAGAAAACAATTTGGCATTGAGCCAAGAAAATTGTCCGTAACGTTTGATCCAATAATTCCACATCTGAATATCTACTCTAAAATAGCCAGAATATGAAAAAGTCATATATAGGATGATTCTTATTACAGCTTAACATTTAAAACAGCAATTAGTGGGAATGGCAGCCTCAGTTGGGATCTAGATGGGAGCTAGATGGGTTTGTCTGAAAGCCGTGCATATGAGTGGTGCACAGGTGCCTACATATACGCATTGCTGTGTAAGTGGGCAAGCAGGCTGCCCTCGGGAATAGGGAGACCGTGGGGAGAGGGCAGAATGGGGTCTTCTTGGCCCGGCCCAGCCAATAGAATAAGTCAGGACTGATGCCCAAAGAGAGAGACTAGCAAGTTCCATGTTAAGGAGAAAACATTCGTTTCCATTTTGATTAAGGGGCTATTGTATAGTGATTAGGGAACTAGCTGTGTGAGTATGAACACATTAACCTTTCTGAACCTCAAATTCTTCACTTTCCCAATGAATATTCTACATCTTTTGGTTATTCTTAATAATAGGTCACGCTTGTGCTTAGCACTGATGAATGTAATCCTCATAACCCTATGAAAGATGTATCCACTGCATGCATTTAATACTTACACAGTGTTTAACAAGTGCTAGACTCTGCTCTAAGCACTTGACAAAATTTCACACACTTCATCCTGATTGCAGCCCCCTGAGGTTTGTACTCTTGTTATCTCGCGTCACGGATGAGGACACTCCGAGGCCCAGAGGAGTTAATGACCACACTGCAGGTTGTTGTAGGGATCCAAAGCATTGACCTTTATAAAGGTTTTACTGAAAGATGTGGGGGGACCCTTACACTCTGGCATCCTGAGCCCCTGACTTAGTGGCCCACCCTGGGACACAGTTATCACATGGGAGAAGCAGGACTGGATCCCAGGTCTCTTTATTTGGAGCAGCCAGGAGGGCACAGGGGTGAAATGGAGACATTCCGGCTGAGAAAAAGCCTCGAGGCTCCTGGTTCTCAGGCGCTGCTGGGCCTCCGTTGGGATGAAGACAGAGTTGCCGGGTCAGAGGTCAGAGCCCAAATCCAGGACCCTCTCCTTCCATCATCCCCCCTCTTCCCAATCTCCCAGACAAATGGACATTTCAGAGTCGTGCGCCGTGCCTGGCAGAGAGGCTTTGGCTAAAGGTCCAGGATTGCAGCGTAAATGTGAATGTGACCCAGACACCAGGGGAAGGAGCAAAGACTAACTGAGGTCAGCTTGGAGCGGTCTTGTCTGCGATCATTGCTGCAAACACTGTTGGCCTGTGTCCAACAGGACGGGGAGGTGGGATGCACCGGACGGCCTTCTCGGAGTGCGCTGGCTGCGGTAGCCCCTGTGGGACGAACTGTTGGTCCTGGGCCTGGGAAAGATGAAGCCCTGACATTAACAATAAGAGGGATTCACTCCTATGTGGGATATTAAACTGAAAGCACCCAATGAACAAACAAGACAAGCAAAAATGGAAAGGAGGGGGAAGAGAAACACCTGGACTATGTGCACCCCTTTTAAAAATATGTATATATTTTTATTGATTTCAAAGAGGAAGGGAGAGGGAAAGATAGAAACATCAATGATGAGAGAGAATCATTGATGGGCTGCTTCTTGCACGCCTCCTACTGGGGATTGAGCTGCAACCCAGGGACCCTTCAGTCGGCAGGCTGAAGCTCTATCCACTGAGCCAAACCAGCTAGGGCTATGCACGCTTTGTAATGTGCAAATATGTCTGTGTGCTTAAAGTGCCATAAAAGCTCTCTCTTTTACATTTTACTTGTGTGGTTAATATGATTGTTGCAAACACATACGTGACAGATTTTAAAATGCCTGAGTCTCACACAAGAGATGAAGCTTTCTCTTCATTAGTTTCCTCTGACCTGCAGGATGACCTGTTGCTCACGCTCCTGGAGGGTTTGCCCAGCTGAGTTTCACAATGAAGCAGCTCTGGGGAGTCTGGTTTGCTTCAAGCTGCCCTGTGGCGCTGCGCTCTGCTCCAGGTTCCTGGGCCTTGACCTTGTGAGGTGTACCCTCTTTGGATAGATCCTTGGCTAAACTTCCTTGTTCAGTATTTCTTGGTAAGGTATGAAGGGGTGTTTGTGGTGGAGCTGTTCTAACATTCTTAGAGTAATGGTTGATTCAATGAATGCCTGATTCCACGTGCCTTTATTGAGCACCCACTGCATACACTGTGCGAAGGTCTGAGGAGACGGGCACGTGAAGAGATTGTGATACAATATGCTAAAGGCAG